ACACACACACACACACACACACACACACACACACACACACACGTGTTGAGGCTTCAACTTAGGGCTGGTGTGCTTGGGGACATTGTGCATAGTGCTGACCATGGTGACATCTAGTGGTCAGGTGTGGTACTGCAGCACAAGTTGATCCCGTGTGCATGTAAACTGCAGGGTAGGGGGTAGGGATGCTAGAATTTGGCTGCCTGTTTTGGGAGCCATGCCCTTTCATCCTTCTTGAGGCCTGATGGGCCAGGAGAGGCCTGCTCTTGAGGCTTCTGTGACTCAGGGGGTGTCTGCCCTAACACGGCCCCCTCCTCCAGCCCAGTTCCCTCCCCATCCTTGTGCCTGCTGGGCCAGGTGAGTCTAGGCTACCCACGATTCCCCACTTCCTGTCTCCCACGAGACTGCCCAGTTTTTCCAGCCAGGTTCCCTGGGTAGGGCCTTCACCCTGTTGGGAGTCCTGGGCAAGGCCCCTCCACACCCTACCAGTCTGGTGTCCCAATTCCCCCATGCTGCCTTGGCACATCCGGATGGGGCTTCATTTGGGGTTGAAGGCCCTACCACCTGAGTTGGGAATGAAACGGGGAGAAGCTATGCTGGGTGGGGTTATTGTATTGCTTCCCACCTGGGGTGGGGCATTCTATGTGCGGCCATCTGTCCCCCTGCAGGTGGGCCCCCTCAGCTCCTGGAGAACCTGTTACCAGCCCTGGACTCAGGTAAGGGCTCGAGGAATGCCCAGGTCACTAGGTGAGACTTTATGGCTAGAGCCAAAGGGTGCATTAATCCATAACCTAGGCCCCAAGGGATGGTGGGTGTCTACTGCCCTGGGACTTCCAGAATTTGGGCCTCAGAGATGAGGGTGATACCATGGTGGGCAGGAGGAGGTGGGGAGAGGAGACTGACGTCCCATTTCCCTACACCAGTCACACAGCCAGCCTCCAGCCTTGGGGACAGGGCAGCAGTGAACCACTAGCTCCGAGGCAACACTGGCCCCCACTGGCCCAGGGACTCTAGTGAAGGACTCAGGACTCCGGTCGCGCCTTCAACAGCACAGGCACGTTCTCTCTGGAACACCATGAACATTGTAGTGCCTGCTCCGAGGATGGCCGCCCCTCCTGGGTCCAGAAAGTGGACAGGCCTCCAGCGTTACCAGGCACTCAGCAGACTGGTGCTGAGGAAGCCCCGCCTCTCTCTGCCTGGCTGACCAAAGGTCTGGATGGAGGGCAGGTGTGCCGGCAGGTGTGGCACTGCCCTAACAGCAGGATCAGCTGGTGCTAGGCCGGGGACTGCTACAGCTCGGCCCTACGTTTACCTGAAAATATAGCCCACCCGTATTTATGTCAAAGTATTTATGGCAGCGATTCCTGCCCTCTTCGCCCTTGGCAGGCTGCCCCATCTCCTGGTCTGTCCCAGGAGGCCTTGACTCAGGATTGCAGGCCCTTGGGGTCTCCAGTGACTGGCTTAGCTACCATGTAAAATCCACAAAGTTAAAGGAGCAACAACGTCCCTTGAAGCCTGTTTGCTGGGCCCACGTTTGCCCCCTATTCCCTCCTGGGGGTAATGGGGAGGGTCCACACAGTAAAACTGGGGCTTATCCCTGTTCCTTATGCTGTGAAGAAATGGTGTGAGTCATAGGGCTTGTGTGGGAAGAATGGCTGGAAGGGGAGGGCTGGTAAGAGGGGCAGCCTGGGTGGGAGATGCTTCCAGCCAAGCTGGCCCTGCCCACCTGTGGTGAGACTTGAGGGGCCCCAGGCTGGGTGGGCAACAGGCCTGGCCAGCCATTTCTCTTGAGGGATTGGTTCTCATGGCTGAGGCAAACTGCACACCATGTATTCAGGTAGCAGATACCTCCCGAGGGAAAATAAAGAGGGCTCTCCCAGGCTCAGGAGCCCTGGTGGCACTGTGGGTAAAGTGCTCAGCTGCTTCACATGCATATGAGGCAACTGAAAGACCACGGCTTGGACCAGGTACACCTCAGTCAGAAAGTGACATCTTTGACCAAAGCAGAATTGATAACATTGGAATCATGATGTTTGTGAAGAATATTGAATATACCATGGACCACTGGCACTCAGGAGCTCTGGTAGCGTAGTGGTTATGAGTTGGGCTGCCAACCTCAAGGTCAGCAGTTCAAAACTAACAGCTGTTCTGCGGGAGAAAGATGAGGCTTTCTGCTCCCGTAAAGATTTACAGCCTCGGAAACCCTATACAGGGTCGCTATGAGTCGGAACCGACTCCACGGCACACAGCACACTGGCACTTAGCTGTGGATTAATGCACTGGACTCAAATTTGAACTGCAAGGTCGGCGGCTCAAGCTCACCAGCTGCTCCTCGGAAACCCTATACAGGGTTGCTATGGGTCGGAACTGACTCAACGGCGCTTCACAACAACAACCAGAAGAATGGAGTCCTGGTGTAGTGATGCGCTGGACTGTAAGGTCGCTTTGAACCACAAAGTGAGTAGTTCAAACTCACCAGTCTCTTCTTGGAAACCCTATACAGACTTTACACCAGAAGAATGCAGTCCTGATGTGGTGCTGTAGGATAAGCACTGGACTGCAAGGTCAGCAGTTGAAACGCACCAGCCACTCCTCAGAAACCCTATACAGGGTCACTATGAGTTGGAAACGCCTCAATGGTACTTAAGAACAACCACTACAAATTAACTCTTATCACTTAAACAACATAACATGCACACTCCATGGCCAAGCAAGCGAAATGAATGGAACACCACGTAAGACTTCAGTAAAACCCATAGCTCAGAAAGCATCAGGAGTAGTAGAATGGCAATGTGAAGCTGGGACAAGCTGTCAGAGACAGTGTGGAAGATACATAAGTAGAAAGAAGCCCACGATGGCTGAGGTGAATGGATACAACTGAACAGTGGGTTTCCAAGCTCAGAATACCGTCAGGAGTAACAGGATGGCAGATGAGATGGAAAATACAAGGGAATATTTAGTAGAAATGAATAATGTTGTTTAGCAGCTGTTGAATCAGCCTCCAGCTCACGGAGACCCCCGTGCACAATGAAAGGAAATGCCACCTGGCCACACCTGGCCCCCATAATCCATTGCCAACCAGACCGTGGTGATCCACAGGGTTTTCACTGGCTGAGTTTGGGAAGTAGGTCACTAGGCCTTCCTGCCTAGTCTTAGTTTAGGCTAGAAACACTGCTGAAGCCTGTTCATATCATAGCAACATGCAAGTCTCCACTGGTAGATGGGTACACATAAGGAGCACTGGCTGGGAATTGAACCTGAGTTTCCTGCATGTAAAGTGAGAATTCTACCACTTCCACTGCCCCCTTACCTTCTAAACAAAAACCAAAACCATACCCATTGTTACTGAGTTGACTGACGCACATAAGAATTACCGCATAAGATTTCCAAGGCTGTCTTTACAGCAGTAATCTTTATGGAAGCAGACAGACATCCTTTTCCTGAGTAGTGACTTGTGGGTTCGAACTGCCTACCTTTTGGTTAGCAGCTGGGTGCTTAATCTCTGCACCACTAGGGCTCCTTAATCGTCTAATCGAAGTCCAGACAAAGTGAAGGAAACACAATTGATGTGGCGCGATCAAGATCAGGAGCTATCAGATGTAAAGGCGATCGATCTCAGATGGAAGGGTTCAAGGTGCAAACCAGGATAGAAAAGAAAAGTCATCGTCTAATGAAATTTACAAACATCAGGGACCAAAGGAAACAGTAAATGTCTCAGAGAAAAAGAGAAATAGAAGTGATGTTGACATTAATTTTTACAAGCGAAATACTGGGAGCAAGGAAACAGTCATATTCTGTTTTGCTTCTGTTTTCAAAGTGAAGAAAAAAGTTAGAAACTTGAATTGTAGGTCCAGCTAAGTAATCATTGAAGTGCTCAAATGAAAAAGAGCCTTAGGTTTCTGCAGTACAGAAGCAGTCCTTAAAATGCACTTAGAGAAAGCACTTAAGGAAGAAGGGACAGAGATCTGGCAGCGTGCTCAGATGTACATGGTCACACATTTCCCACCTACCCTAGTAATTGTGGTGGTGGTGGTAAGTACCACTGAGTCGGTTTTGACTCATAACAATGCTGTATAGCTTCCAAGAAATGTCTGATGGGTTTGAACCGCCAACCTTGTGGCTAGCAGTCCAGTGCTTATCCTACAGTGTCACACCACTACTAACTTAGTAATTGTTATTAAGTACTCTAAAGTCAATTCCAACTTGTAGTGACCCTGTACAAGGTTTCCGAGGAACAGCTGGTGGGCTCAAACTACGAGCTTGTGGTTCACAAGTCCAGTGTTTATCTTACAGGGCCACACCAGGAGTCCAACTTAGTAATTAGGAGATTCAAAATACTGACGTTGATCCACAACTGAAACTCCAGATACTGCCAGGGGAGGGGATGTGCTAAGTTACCTGTCCTGTTTGGTGAAAGATAGTGACCTAGATAAGCTACAGAAAGTGATACGAGAAATAAACAAGAGTGAACATTCTTAATTAAACAGCTGTAACCATCACAATGTGTGTAGGATAAGCACTGGACTGCTAACCCCCCAGCACTTCTTGGAAACCCAAAGTGTCACTGAGCTGGAACACGCTAACCTAGATGTTGGTGACTCTGACCTTTTCAGTGGTGCTGCAGAAGAAATGCCTGGCAGTCTGCTTCCATGAAGATGACAGGCAAGAAAACCATAAGGAGTTTTACACATGGACTGACATGAGTCAGAATCGCCTCAATGGCAATAAGGTTTGTTTGTTTTTTTTTAACCACCATAAGAATCTAATAGGATGTTTAGCTTTAAAGCCATCTGGAGAAAATCTTAGTAATATAGTGGGGGCAGGAAAGAGGCCAAATGAACCATAGTAAAAAATAGTTCAACAAACTCTAATCCATTGCAATAAAAGTGTCTGCACATGGTTTGATGATCAAAAGACAAGTTCCTTGACTGCATTACAAATAACCTATCAGTTGTTAAGTGCCGTGGAGTTCTGACTCATAGCGGCCCTGTGTAGGTTGCGGTTCAAACCAATCTTGAGGTCAAGTGCTTATCCTACAGTGTCATACCAGGACTCCAATCTATCACAGGTAGACTATAAAAGGCACTCAAATATTTAGAAATCTAAATAAACCAAAAGAAATCTGGAGTAGGGGTTTTAATATTGCCTGGTGGAAAGCATCAAAAGTTGCTGTATATAAACATAGACACACACAAAATAGAGTCTCAAGAATAAACAGAGCAATGATGGACAGAACAGAAATAAGAATGATAGCTGGTGATTTCAACGTGCTCTACAAAAGCAAATATGTTAAGCCAACAGGATGGCAACAGTGCTAAAGTTTAACTAAAATTCAACGCGCACACACACACCACAGGTTTCTATATAAACTGTATACTCTGCAAGTGGGGAATGTTACTGTTGGTTGGTAAGTTTCAGCCGATTGTTGCTGTCACTGTGTCGTTCCAAATGGGGAATAACATTCTGCTTAAGCATAATGGAACAATGAACAAAACCAAAGGCTGCTCTGAAGACTATTAAGAAAGACAAAACATTAGCAAGACTGATGAAGAAAGAAAATGCAAGAAAAAACAAGGAATAGGGAGAAATCCCCACAGATAGTCTAGAAAACTACTATGAACTAAAGAATGGGCTTCCCAGCTCGGGACACCCCCATGATAACTTTGGAAACTTAGAAAAATGGATGAGTTTCTGGGAAAATTAAAATGTTGACACTGGTGTGAACAGAAATGAAAAAAAATTCTAAGAAAAGCAAAACTTAAGTGAATACAGTTAGTAATCAAAGACCACCAGTTCTACTGCAGCCCAAGAACCCTACAACAGATGTTTACACCGTTGGATGTACTTGATTCAAGTCCCCCTGCCGCCCCCCACCCCCACTCCATCCCATTCAGTGAGAAGGCAGGGGGACTCATTGAATGAGACCTTTGTGAACCTCGTTCTAAGACTGGGTGGGGACAGTCCAAGAACCTCACAGATGCAGTATGTGTAGGCAGAATCCTCAATAAAAGACCAGTTCTTCAAATAAAAATATTGTAGGTCAACTTTATCGAGTACAGGATGATTCAAATACAGGGACAGGCTCACATCAGAAAGTTGTGTCTATGTATTTAGATGAGCAATCCAGCGACTTTTCTTGATAGAAACAGAAAGAGAATTCAGTGGAGTTCAATGTCCATCTCAGATATAAATTCTTGAAAAACTGGGTACACAAAGGATTTTCTTTTTAACTTTTTCTTGTGAATTTGGTAAAGGTTCAAAGGATCTCTCTTAAGGATGGTTACAAGCTAAGAAACTACTGCTAACATCCTGCTGGATGAGAAATGACTTCGAGTCTCTGTTTAAATGATACCATGTCAGAGATGCCACCCATGTCTCTAATTACATATTAACTGGTGCTTTTTCTGCAGTACCCCCTTCCTTTTCTTTATGACCCTAATATATCCTGTAGTGCTGTTTGATTTTCCTTCCTTATGGCCAAGGGCTTTGCTTGCTTCACTATAGACCACTTGGAATGGGACCCTATCAGGCAGGGACTCAGACATTGGTGAGTGACCGCATGACTTCCCTTAAACAATCGGTGATTGCTCAGTGGTGGAATTCTCACCTTCCCTGAAGGAAACCTGGTGTGAGTCTGTCAGCACACCTGAGGCACAGCCACCACTTGTCTGACAGTGGGGGGGCTTACGTGTTAGGCTGCTGTGCGGGTTTCAGGGGTGCTTCCAGACCAAGACAGACCAGGAAGAAAGGTCTGGTGATCCACTTCTGAAAATTAGGCACTGAAAACCTTACGGATCCTAGGTTTGGTCCTTAATCAGTCATGGGGTTGGAGCAAGACCAGGCAGTTTTGTTCAGTTGTCATGGGATTACCAACTGAGGCTGAGAACCAACTGAACAGCGCTAACAAACAACAAAAATCAAGGATCAGAAGATGTCTTATCACCATCAGTCCCTGCCCAGTAGAGTTAGATAAAACAAAACAAAAACTTCAGAGGTACATAGATCTGGGGGAAGAGATAAACCTATCATGGTTTGTAAGGGATGCCATTCTGTAGGGCTGTTTATCTTAAAGAGCTAGCAGATTATGACAACACAAACAAAAACTCAGCAGGGTTCACCGTGACTAACTCACAAGAGCCAACAGTTCTTCAAGCTCAGGTGTAACTAGAAGACAGTATATGAGGTCTTATCCAATATGGCCACCAAACCCATAGAGTATCTTGAGAGTTTATTTGGCAAAAAAAAATGTACCTTTCAGAGATAAATGGATAAATGGAGCTGTTGACTAGACCCCAAACCCACTGCCTTCGGGTCAATTTGGACTCTGAGTGACCCTGTAGGACAGAGTAGAACTGCCCTAAAGGGCTTCTGGAAGCAGACTGCCATGTCTGTCTCCCACCGAGCAGCTAGTGGGTTTGAACCAGTCTTTTAGTTAGCAGCCAAGTGCTTAACTGCTGTGCCACCAGGGCTCCTCTGACCAATGTTAAGGAAAAATCATTTGACATTGTAAAAATGTCACCACCAGTCTGTCTATATACCCAGTGTGTTCCGTGAAAGGCCACTGACAAGAGTTCACAGGGGGTACCTGGAATGAACGATCTGTGGTCTATAAATGGACAAGGATCTGACATCAAGGAGGAGGAAGGGAGGTGACAAATCCACGTGTAGAGAGAGAGACGACAACACACACCAGTCCAGAAGATGGAATGTGGCTTTGTTTCCATGGGACCGCAGCTGACGAGTCCTGGATCTAGGGTGGTGTGAGCAAAAAGGAACCCTCAGGTACCGTCAGCAAGCAGTGGTCAACCCTGAGAGCCACGTTAAGTGTCATCGAGTCGGTTCAAACTCATAACGACCACCTATAGGGTTTCTGAGGATCGGCTGGTGAGTTTGAAGCGCCGATCTTGAGGTTCAAACCATGTTCCATATTGTTGTTATGTGCCGTCGAGTTGGTTCTGACTCATAGTGACCCTGTACAGGGTTTCCAAGGCTGTAAACCTTTATGGGAGCAGAAAGCCTCATCTTTCTCTCATGGAGCCACTGGTAGTTTCACTGATGACCTTAAGGTTCGCAGCCCGATTCATAACCACTACACTAACAGAGTCCATGTTGTTGTTGTGAAGTGCCGTCGAGTCAGTTCCTACCCATAGTGACCCTGTATAGGGTTTCCAAGGAGCAGCTGGTGAACTTGAACTGCCGACCTTGCAGTTCAAACAGCTTTGCAGTGTAGTGCATTAACCCACAGTGCCACATGTCGACGGGGCAGCATCAATGCCTGTGTATTGAGGACCCACAAGCAATGGTGCTCCTGGACACCAGGGGGCGCCCAAGGAGGTTCTCCCCTTCCCCCAGGGAGTTGGGGACAATGAATGTGCATGGTGGTGGAATGTTCTGGAGCGATCAGGATCAGAAACCACCAGATGTGCAGAGCAGCACAGACAGGTCTTAAACCCATGTTGAAACAGAAAATTAGGATGAGCTCTATGTTGTGAAATGTTGTTGACCTGGTTCTGACTCATAGTGACCCTGTATAGGGTCTCCAAGGAATGGCTGGTGAGCTTGAACTACCAACCTTACAGTTCAAGCTGACTTTGCAGCTCAGCGCATTAACCCACAGCACCACACCAGTATCCAGGATGAACTGTATAATGCTCACCTTTCTATAAACAGTTCTCCCCTCCGCCCAAGGGCATTATTTACAAGGACACCAAGGTGTTTGAGGGCAGACACACATCATTCAAAGGAGGTGGCTGTGGAAGGGTGGGCAAAGAAGGTGCTCACTGAGACTCCCACCAGCTCTGGGCCCCATTGGTGATGAAGCCTGTCCACCTAGGACACCTTCAGAATTTCTCCTGGGTAGAGGTGGCTGTGGCCTATGCCTCACTCTGATTCATGAGAATCCAGGTATGAAAGAAATATTTATTATCTTTGGGATCCGCAAAGATACACTTTCCAGGCTGGCCCTTGTCTGGGACTGTGGGGCAGCCCTGGGTCCCGTGTATAGTACAGATTGGGGACATGGAAGGCTGAGACCCCACCTCTCTGAATGCCCCACATCAGCATAACCCTCTGGGGAGTGCACGGGAGGGTCAGGTCCTAGGCTGCCGTAGCTAAGTGTCCAGTGGTGTCCAGGGGGACCAGTGGTGCAGTAGGAAGGGGTGGTTTCCTCCAGCTGGACTTGCGGGGATCAGACCTGCTGTAGCCTGCCCCATGCCCAGGTGGGGTTACCTCCCAGGAAGGCAGTGTGGACCTTGCCCATCAGGCCCTCAGGACAAGCCTACTGGCAGGCTAGCAACTGCAGCCCCTAAGACGCCGACTGCCTGTCTATACGTCTGTCTCTACGCGCAGCCGCTCCATCCTACGCACGTTGTCCTCCACAGCCACGCGGCTGGTGATGGATTGGGCAAAGTCTTCGGGGAACCAACCTGTCTCCCCATCCCGCAGCCGCTCACCGAATATCCAGCCTGAGTGGACAGAAGAGGGGTCAGGGGGGCTGCTCAGGATGTCGGCATCCCCCAGAGCGCCCAAGCAGCTGCTCCAGAAGATACCAGGGCCAGCAAATCAAACACCAGCCATGCAGCCACACGGAGGAATGGGAAAAGTGCTCAGCTCTACAGGGCGTGGTCTCTGAGAGGGCGGGCAAGGGCTAGGGGCAGTGGGAAGCCCCTCTCCTCTTTTCCTGAGAGACAAGACTGGCAGAATCAGCTGATAGGGACGAGATCCCACCCGCCATCTTTGGAGGAATCTTAAGGGAGGCCACTGCCAGGTCTTGAGTAAGACCCCGAGAATGCCTGCTGTACCCAGTGCCCACCTCTCCTTGCCTGGGCCCCTGAGGATCCCCAGCTCCCACCCCTGCCCACAGCCTGCTCACCATCTTCCCGCTGCAGGACCAAGACCACGTCCGCCTGCTGCAACGCCATCTCATCTGCCTGCTTGGCGAAGTAGGTCTTGGTGACCTCCATCTGCAGAAGGTCTGGGCGGGGGTGGGAAGAGGTGTTGGCACCAGGACCACCAGCAAGGGGCCCCTGGGAGCTCTGCAGGGTCCACCCCTCTCTACAAGGAAGTGGGGCTGCCAAGTCCAGGGGATGGGGGTGGTATCTGGGGTCTTAGCACACGGAGAGGTGGCAGCTTGCTGACTGCAGGCTAAGGTGACCCCTCCAGAGACTGTGCCTGCTTTTGGGACTCAAACTCCCAACCTCTAAGGTGATGGACCTAGGGGCCTATGACCACTGTGTCATGAGCCTACTTCCCAGTTATCATACATATAGGGACAGAGTGGTGGTCTCTCCTGCTGCAGATGGGCAAGGCCCTGACAAGTGCTAATGACCAAGATGGAGGTGGATGCACAGGTACCTAAGCTGGGGTCCAGGCTTGCCAGGGTCCCCTCACCTGGGCATACTGCTCTGGACTCAGGGCTAGACCATGCCCCTCCTCTCCAGGTCAGCTCCGTTAGTGCCCCAACCCCAGCTTACCTCCTTTGTTGCCTTGGCGTTGCCACTGTCTCTCCCTGTATCCGAGCGCTGTGATCCACCTGGCCCGGTCACTCCTGGGGTCAGAGAGAGTGTGGGTAAGGCCCCGTGGCCAGTCTGCCTCTGTCCTCCCCTACCATCCCTGCAGATCATGTCTGCGAGGCGCAGCAGGAAGACAGGTGGGGTGGGGGGTCCCTTGGTTTTGCCCACCCCCACCCTGAGATGGCTGGGAGTAACAGTGCCGTCCACACTGGTGGGAGGTGTGCTGTAGGACATATGAGGATGCCAAGGCATAAAGGCAGGTCACAAGGCAGGCCAAGCACAGGCAGCCACTCCCAGATCACACCTGCCAGGGACAGGAGGCCAGGCGGCAGTCCAAGACCCAGAACCTAGTCTGTTGGTCCCTAAGGTACCCGTTTCCCTACGCCAGGCCTGAGGTCCCTGCTTTGGGACCATCTTGCTGTTCAACAAACACATACCTCACAGGCTCCTGACTTGGCCCCATGGGAAGGGATGGAGGAGACACAGGGACTCAATCCTTTCCTCCCTCCCCACTGTATGCCAGCATCTGGTCACATGCTGGGGGGCTGACCCTCCCCTGCCTCCTTATTGCACAGTGTGCCCACCAGGACCACTACTACCCAGCCACCCCACCTGCAGGGTTTAGACCAGGACCCCACCTTGTCCATGAGGCCTTTCTTACTAGCTCCCTACTTAGGGCTTCTTTCCCAGTCTGACTTTTCCCGATCGTCCTTACCCTTCTGATACACTAGAAAGTTCAGTGACTCACCGTGGAGAGCAGGTATGCTCACCACGACCCCACCACCACCGTGTCCTCATTTTGCACATGTCCCCTCCCTTGCCTATTAGGCTGCTGGAGCTCTGGCCCGCCCTGGCACACACCAGGGTCGGGCTCGCAGTAGGCGCTTAGCAGAGCGTATAGCAGAGCAGGGTGAGTGGGGATCTGGGTCTGAGTACGGATCTTACGCGGAGTCTGCAGAGAGCTGGAGCTGCTCCTGGCGGCCCTCACAATTGTACAGCATGGTCAGTTTGAATGGGTAGGGCAGGGAAGGCTCTGAGGGCTCAGCTTTTTGGACCTGGATGTGTTCCGTCTGGGTGTAGTCCTGGACGACAAAGTTGTCCTCGCTGTTGGGGACAGGCCATGGGTTGGATGCTGCAGCCATGGGCTTGGGACCTTTCTGGAGGAGATGCCCTCCAGCCCCTTACCCCCCACATTCCTGTCACTCACTCAAGGTCTGCAGGCAGAAGCCAGAGACACAAGGAGGAGTGTGTGTCCTTGAGCAGAGGGGCCCAGGCCAGGATGGGACACAGCTCACACCCACTGGCCCCAGTCCCTGTCTCGGGGTCCAACCTCGCAGTGGGGTGCAGCAGCTCTCCTGGAAGCAGGCCTACCTCTTCTTCTTGGTGACCACTAGGACATCATTGAACAGGAAGAGGTAGGAGGTCGGCCGGCTGGCAATCTTTCGGAAGAGTCTGGAGTCTTCCACGAGGAAGAGCTCTCCACGTTTCAGCAGCCAGCGGGAGGCGGAGATGATTGGCAGGGACTGTGGATAGGCCCAGGGGTGGAGTGAGGGGTGCGGCCCAAGAGAACTATCCTTGGGCTGCAGCTTTGTAACCAATCCTGTCCTGAGAAAAGTGACTCAGCTCTCCAGCTGGGCAGGAGACAGCTGCGTCCAGGCCCCAAAAGCTGGGTCAAAGGCCAAGGCTCAAGGCCCGCCAAGCACCTGCTATATGCTCAGCCTGAATGGGTGCGGAGCCGCAGGGGTGGCTGCCTGTCCTGACCCTGGGCTTCCACACAGGGCTGGCTGAATAAGGGCTACTGGCAGGGCAGGAGTCATGCTGGGCACGGGCCTGGCATTGACCTACAGAGTTGGCCCTGGGGTGTGGGACTGGATGTTGGAAAGGTGAGCAGGGCAGACTGGGTGCTGGTAGGGGTAGAGGATGAGGGTGGCCCGAGAGAGTTGGGGGATGTGTCTGCAGAGCGCAGAGCACACTTGGGTATGGAACGTGGTCTCCAAGGGCTGGGACACGGTGTCCAGTCACCTAGAGCCTGTCAGGGGGGGATGAAGGGCCGGGGGCAGGAAGGATGGGGAGAAGGCAGGGTGGGGGCAGTTGACTTCCTGCACAAGCACCCCCACTTCTTGCTGAATTCCAACAGACCACCTGACCAATGGGTAAGCGAAGCTGGCCCACTGGGGGAGGGGCGCCAGACTGAGGGAGCAGATCCCTTCCATACATGTTGCTCAAGCCCCCTTCACAGGTGGGATCGTATATTCCTTGTGTGCCCTCCGACCCCCCATAGAAGGCCTTCCAATGGAGGCCCCAGTGGGACACTGGTGCACTGTCTGGTGTCGGGGCAACTGAAGGGTCATGAGGGGCCTGGGGAATGAGGGGTCTGAGCCCTGCCTTCTCATGTGAGGGTCTAGGGTGGTCCTACCCTTTCTTTCCCAGAAGGAGCCCAAGGCCCAGTCCTGGCCTTACAGAGAATTGGACCCCAAGCTAGGCCTGAGGATGTCCTCTCCACCCCTCCTCTGCCTGGGTCGTCCTGGGGGTGGGGAACAGACAACAAAGAGTGGGTTGGGCAGCCGAGCCTGTTGGGTCCTCCCAGGTGGGTTCAGAGGCAGGCCGCTGCATGTGACTCCTGATGCTGTCAGGCTGAGGACTGCAGGAATGGTGGGGGTGTGAGTGTGGAGTGAGGTGTCCAGCCTACCTTGACCTTGCTGAAGTCCAGCTGCTGGTGCAGTGTGTACAGCTGCTCCATGTGCTCCATCCTGTGAGCACCTTCGTTGCACAACTTCACCAGCTGCAAGGCGGGAGGAGGGGATGTGCGTGTGACAGTGTGTAGGGGTGGGCAGGGCATCCCACGGCCCACCTATCCTTGAGGGGATGCCCTGGGCTCAGTTTCCCCAGGGGAAACATGGATGGATAATTCAGGGTCCCTCCTGGGTTCTGCCTAGACCCCGCCTCACCTTGCTGATGGCTTTCAGAGCCCGGCTGGCAGCCTGGTATCTCTCAGGGTGGCCCTGCGTCTTAAGGCAGAGTGTCTGGAGAGGAGGCACTGATATGAGAACCAGAGACCTGCATGGGGCGGGACCCTCTAACACCAGAGCCCTCGGGAGTCAGTGCCAGGGGTCTCTTGCTAAGCCTGAGCTGTTCTCAGTCTCTAAACAGCTATAACATTGACTGCCCAGGGCTTTAGAAGGTCAGGACATACTGAATGGGGTCCCTGGAGCTGGCATGCCCCCTCTGGAACACTCTGGTCCTGTCCTTAACCCTCTTCATCGGCCTAGGGAATGACCCCAGGCAGCTCCCTTCTCTGCATGTCCCCACGCTGCCCCACACGCTGACCATGCCACGAAAGACCAAGACACGGAAGGACCTCGATGTCTTATCAGCCCCAAGGGGCTTGAGGAATGGGGAGGAAGAAGATGGTGAGAGGAGGGACACCCGTCAGAGACCACCGCTGTACAGGGGTTAGGGTGCCGCCAACTCCGACTCATCACCGTGGGAGACCCAGTAGAGGGTGCATATGAAGCGCAGGCCATGGTGGAAAGACGGATGTCTATTACTAGTGCTGAAGCCCCCATGTGAAGATCCTGGTTGAAACCATTAGAGGCAGAGAGTGGCTAAGCAGCCAGGAGCCCCGCCCAGACTCACGTCCATCAAAAGGGGCAGTCTGGTCACCCTCTGCATGGGGAGGATGAGGAAGGAGATCATGGGCAGGCCCCCGCACGCAGGCTGCCGCTCAATCTCCCGCAGGGCCTCGAGAAAGGCGGCGTTGCTGCTTCTACAACAGAGGACATGGCGCTCTGAGGCCCTGCTGAACATGGTGGATGGGTCACAGGCGAGTGCTCAGGAGGCCAAGGGATGAGCCCCTATCTGAGCCGGGCACTCACGTCAGCTTCTGCAGCGCGCGCTGCTGGTAGACCTCGTTGGAGCAGTAGACCACGTAGGGGTGGAAGTGCCGTTCAGCATGCTCATCCACAATGTCACTGATGTCCTCCACGCACAACTGCTCCTTGTGCCGCCGCTCCAGGTCCCCAAAGAACCTGCGGGAGAGGCGGGCGGGGCGAGCACACTAACACAGGTGCACATACGCACACACATGCACCACTATGCATGCAGGCAACCACATACATGGATATCACATGTGCATGTATACAAACATGAACATACAGCATACACAGGTACATAAACAGACATGTGCACACACAGAGAGCATGCCTTGCAGGAGACAAGTTAGGAGCTCAGAGGCAGCTGGGGCTCAGTGAGACCCTAGATGGGACCTAGGCCAACACTCATCAGCTCTAAGGCATGGCCGTCCTGGGACAACCCCATGAAAGATTAGGGCCCTAAGCCCAAAATAACTGTGGGCCAAACCTGAAGCCACAATGCACTGGACATGGATTCTGAGGGCAGCTGGGACACAGATGTGGGTGGAGAACTAGTAACTGGGAGTCCCACCTGCCTTGGTTCTCTGGGCCGTGGGTCAGACCATTTTCTATCCATCTGGGGGTCTCTATCTATGGGATGTGGAGACTGGGCACCAAGGCCAAGCCCCATCCCTGTATCTTGCTGGAAGGGAAACAGAGGCTTAGGGAAGGGGAGAGGCTTGCCTGAGGACTGGTAAATGGGTCTGCCTGGGTGTTGGGGTGAGGCAGCTTGTGGTCCTGCTGGGGAGGGGGACAGAACGCTGCAAGATGGTCCAGCCCTGTTCTCAGAGACACCCCAGGGCCTAGACTCCCCTGAACCCCAGAGAAGCATCTAATGGGGCAGCTCGAAAGAACAGAAATTCTGCTTCCTCTTGTTAGGAGGACGCAAGCTGCCCAGGCTCCTGGTCAGGAGGAGAGGCTGCCCTGGTGTGAGCCAGCTGGCTAAGGAAGGGAAAGGTGGGGTTGGGGGCAGACGACTTGGATGTGTGACCAGCTTCCACTTATGACTGAGCTTCCTTACGCCTCTGTGGACTTATGCATGGCACTCGGGATGGGGCCACATCATCATGCTGACTTGGAAGGTGCTGAACCCCAGGGGCCCACAAACCCTCCAGCCTTTGCCATGTCAGCAGGGCCCAGAATGAGAAGCCTCTTGCCTTGGTGGCCTCAGGATAGGCCTGACAGCAGGGCCTCCCCCACAGTGGATTCTGTCTTCCATACCCTAATTTTGCTCTGGATTCCGCCCATGGCAGTCCCCCTTCTCCTCTCCCCAGGTGGGAAGCAAACAGTCTGACAGTACCCAGGGTGTGTGCAGGGGCGAGACATGGGGCATGGGGCGGGGTCTTCTCCAGCTAGTTGGCCTAGCCCACACAAAAGCCCGCCCACACTACATGAGGGAGGGACAAACTAGTGCTGCCAACCCAGGAGAATGTATAGGGGTGGAGCTGGGAGGAACCCATGGTTTCTGATTTGATTCTGAGGCTGGTGGAGGTTTCCAGCCCACCCTGGACCCAGGGCATCAGCAGGTAGTAGTCAATCTGTGCCCCCCCCCCGCCCACACCCCTTCACTCAGTTATCAGGGCCAGCAGGGGCCTGGAGAAGGCCGTGGAAGAAGGGAACAGGGCCTGGCTTACAGTTGGGTAGGGGTCCTTCAGGCACTCCCTGCTCTCTGGGCCTCAGCCTGACCTCCAGCCACACAGGGAGCAGTTTCCTGTAAATGGGACATTCTAAGGCACCTGCCTGCCTTGGGAGAACTCAGCAGATGGAGATAGTGGGTCAGTGTTGGGAACTGAGGTCCCCCAGACATGGCCCTGGAGGGGGCGGGGCAGCCAGGAACCCCACAGCCGGATACAGAGTCATGCATGTGCATGCCAGCAGGCAGGTTAGCCAGCATCACAACTGAGTAACTTACAGGTTCCTGGGGCCTGAGAAAGGTCTGGGGAGCGGCAGTCAGCTGCTGACTCAAAATAGTGCCAATTCCCGGGGCGTGGGAGGGCAGCCAGAAGCTGCGGTGGGACCCAGCTGGAGTCGGGGTGTAGAGTGTTCTAGGGACAGCTAAAGTTTTGCTGAGGTCCGGAGAGAAAAGAAGAGAATGGCCCCTGGTCCCCTCCCCCATATCGGGAGACCCCAAACACACAAAGGGTCAGGATCAGATGGGGCAGCTGTTGCCCTAATCCCTCCCCACCAGACTCAGAGTTGCTAAAGTCCCTGTCTCAGGGAAGGACAACTTAGTGAGGCATGGGGGAGTCCCATGGGAAGCAGAGTCCTGGGTCGGGTGGAGCTTGGCAGGGGCAGTGGACACTGAGAATGAAGAGCAACAGGTTTGCAGAGTGTTCCCTGCCTTGGTGGGGGGTGTCACTGACGCCCACTCTGTGAGGTGCCAGCTCCTGGAGGATCTCGGGGACACAGGGCTGAGCCCACATAGTGTGTACCATGGGTCCGTACCCTCTACTGGGGATCACGTACACTCACACACATGGGCCCGCACCGTCCACTGGGGTAAACGAACACACACACACACACACACACACACACACACACACACGAGCCCGCACCCTCCACTGGGGTACACGTACACACACACATGAGCCCGCACCCTCTACTGGGGATCACGTACACACACACACAAGCCCACACCCTCCACGGGGGTACACGTACACACACACACACACACACGAGCCCACACCCTCCACTGGGGTACACGTACACACACACACGAGCCCACACCCTCCACTGGGGTACACATACACACACACACGAGCCCACACCCTCCACTGGGGTACACGTACACACACACACATGAGCCCACACCCTCCACAGGGGTACACGTACACTCACACACATGAGCCCGCACCCATCACTGAATCAAAACATACACAGATTCACATGAGTGGGCCTATCTTTGTGCAGGGTAAACACACAGACACACACACATGACACAAACATTCCTGCAGGCCTGGGCCCTCCACAGAAGCACACACCACACTGAGTGCACACACACATGCTCACAAACTCCAGTATGCACGCCCAGCACTCCTCCCCACCCTTAGTCCTGCAACCAGAGCCGATGGCCAGTTTGGGGCCCCCAGACACCAGCGGGCAGAACAAAACCAGTGGCTGCAACCCGAGGCTGAGGCCGAGTCGGGTGATCGGCTGGCTCCACTCCAGCTGCAGGGCCTCATGCTCGCCAGCACTGGCCTGGGTCCCACCTGAACTGCAGACACTGTGGCGGCCCTCAGTGTCCACCTGAAGAGCGGCAGTGCCCCTTGAGAGCACACCATCTGGTTTACATGGTGGACACAGACTCAGGGTCCCCCTGTGCTGGGTGGAGGGAAACATGGTGTGTGGGAGCCCCAGCACAGACTTGCCTCTGGCTGGCTGCCAGGACGTCCAGGATGTTGGAGAAGAGGTGGTGATGCTCGGTCTGGGTCATGGTGGCACGCAGCTGGCTGGACTGCAGGAACTCAGCCACCAGGATGCCCAGGCTATGCTGGTAGGAGAACTCGGAGGTGAGGATCTCGAAGATGGCCTGGGTGAGAGGGACATGTGGGGCCTGCAGTGTGGCCACACACCCGGGTCCCTGAATGGGGCAGTGCATGGGGGGGAGGGGGGTGGGAACACGGGCGATCTGGGGGTGAGAGGTAGGGCTGGCAAGACAGCCACAGTTACCCATGAGCCATGCGGCACTGAGGACACCCGACTGCCCTGTCCCAGGGCTCTGTGAGGGTCAAGGACATGGAGTAGAAGACTCAGGCCAGGCCTGGCATGAGGGAAATGCCCACAATGGTCACTGCCCTCACACAGATGTCCCACAGAGTACTGAGTACAATGTCGCTGTGGCCATTGTCCCTCACCTCCTGTCTCTTCCGCTCCTCAGCAGTCAGTGTGTCCAGGATGCCCGATTCCACCACCTGAGGGCACAGCCAGGAGGAGTAAAGTGAACTCCCATCTCCTGTCCCTCCACCTGACTGCAGCCCACAGAGAGAACAGAGAGGCCCTGGGCAGGTGGGCCACCCACAGAACTGCAGGCATGGTAGGGAGACAGGCCACCAAGCTAGCACGAACTGCCCCTGTTGCCTCGTGGAGACCAGCCTCACACTGCCTCCAAGGCACCTGGAAAAGCCCAGGAGAGAACGATGCCGTCAGGGAAAGGATGGCTGGCCCCTGACCTCGTCTGCAGGTCAGCCCCAGGGATGGGGAGACAGGAGCCCGCTCTGTCGACAGGGCAGGTGCCAGGTACAGGCTGTGAGGGTTCAGCTCTGGTTTAACTATGACTCAACTCACACACACACCACCTGGGCCAGGTGAGTCAGCATCCTGAGGGGAGGGTCTGACCACACTGTCTGCCCTAGGTTTCTGCCCTGCAGGCGACCTGGCTCAAGTGTGGTTCATGTGGGTAACCGAGCTGTGTCCTCATACAGCTGTGCTGGCCAGGGTGCCCTCTTGCAGGGCTGTTCAGCATACTTAGCTCCTCACTGGGATGGACCCAGTCTCTCCTGCCTTCCTCCTCAGCTCTAAGACTCTGCCAAGATCTGCTGAGCTGGGGTGGGCTTTTCTGGGCATGAATCCCTGGACCCCACTCCAGATTAGGGGAGGTCACAGTCTCCCTACATCCAGCTCCTAGAATGGAGCAGCACTTGGCAGGTAAAACACAGGCATTTCTAGATGTCTTCATCTGTTAGGAATGACACCCTGCCAGAGACCCCCCAGCAAGGGCATGGAGCAGGGGAACGGGAACAGTAACAGTAACAAGAAGACCCTTAGGCTGAAGACACCCCAGCTGACCACCCCTATACCGGGCCAGCAGTCCCTTCTTCTCCGCCTTCAGGGTCTGTCCATTCTGGGCTGCTACCATCCATACCTTCTGGGGATGCTGCTGACTCCCTGCCCTGCACATGCTCAGAGCCCCAGGGCTTCACCCTCTTACGTCCACTGAACAGCCTCAAGTACAAGGGTGCAACAGTGCCCCAGTCTCAGACGCAGACAGGGAGAAGGAAGGGGCAGTGGCTTGACCATGGCCCAGCCCAGGGCTGGCTGCCCTCTCCAGCCACTGCTTCCAGCTGACTCAACCCTTACCTGGAAGACGGGGTGCTTATGCCTCCAGCTCCTGGCAGGGCAGTGTGAGTGGGAGACAGGCACACATGACATCGGCTGAGTGGTGTGAACCACTGGTGGCCACAGGGTCCGTTACAGGGCCACCTCAGACCCCCTTCCCCCTGCCCTCACCCAGCGTGGGCCCTACCTCAGGAAGCTGGCTCCAGGTGACCTGGGCGGGCCGGTAGCTCTTGACTACGATGGTGGTATCCACCTTCCGGGGCCCCTCAGGACTGGCGTGGTCCTCAAGCAAGTCATCGTCCGACTCGTGGCTGGTGTTCAGGCCCCGCTCTCGGATCTCCTGATAGAGTCGGGGGTCTGTAGGGGACGGGGCATGTCACCTGTGGGCCAGGGGACTCTGAGGTCCAATCCCCTGGGAGTCTACGGGCTGAGCCTTCCTGAGGGGTCCCCAGAACCCCTGAGAGTGACAGGAAGCGCAGAGCCCTCTAGAACAGGCTGCCCTCTGATTGGGTGGTTCCCATGGCGGTTGCAACAGGCGAGTGGCAGCCCCGTGCAGAATGTGGCACCTTGACCAGGGCCGAGTTGACCAATCCAAGTAGCCAAAGACAGGGGAGGCTCTGGGTGGGGCTGTCCCCCCGGTTGGGCCTTCAGGGCCCTCTCCTACTCCTCAATCTGAGACTCGGGATATCCCTCCTGATCTCCTGGGGACATCTTCCCCCAGGTATGTGTGTGGGAGACCTGGACCCTGATATCTACACTCAAAGCCAATGGCCCCATCTACCAAGATTCCAGGCAGGCGGCCTGCAGAGCCTTCCAGGATAAGCTCAGCAATTGTGTCCCTGGAGCCCCCTGATAAGGTATTTCCTGGCACTGGGACCTCTAGTCCCTGGAAACAGAAGATCCCAAACAGCTATGTGTCACCAAGCCCAGGACGTCCCCAGTAATGAGGTGGGGGGTAACCAGAGAGCAGCTTCCACCGGGACCTGAGCCTGGGCCGTCTCCACAGACACTCACCGTCCTTGAAGGAGCCTTTGTGTGCACGTTTCCGTCCTAGCGTCCTCTGTAGCAAAGAGACACACAGACACTACATCAGCAAACGGCAGGGGCATGTCTGGGACCATCCCTCTGCTCCAAATCCCGGGACCCCATGCTCAGTGTGTGCTGGGTATGCAGAGGTGCTTAATAATTACACCACGAGGGGTGATGCAGGGTCACCAAGTGCGTCCCAGGAGATTGGGCCAAGGTGCATGTGAGGTCAGAGCAGAAGCTGAGGGTTGGTGGGTCCTGGAGAGCTGCGTGGAGGAGGAAGCAGGGCCAACCTGGTCAAGAGTGGGATGTGGGACCTTAAGGAAAACCCAGGGCAGGATAGGTGTGGTTGAGATGGGACACATTGGGAGAAGGGTGTGTGTGAGTGGGCTCAGGCTACAGACTGGGTCCCCAAGAGACCAAGGACCTGGGATAGCAGTTAGAATAGGCACTGGCTAGTTAAAGTGCCCAGCACTCAGCATAGGCCAGGTGCCTGGTGGAAAGAGAACAGGAGGGTGGAGGTGAGTGTGGGTGGGCAGGACTTTTAGGAGGTCCCCAGCTGGGTGCCTAGCACCAGCCTGCCTTTTTTTGACGGAGACACACCCTGCAGGTGCACTGGGATCAGGAAGCCAGGGGCTGGTTTCTCCAACAAGTCAGGGCCTGAAACTCCCTGAGCTGGTCTGCATGCCCCTAACAGCACCTTCAGCTCTGTACCTGATCCAGGCCTCCTCAGATGCAGCCCTCTCCCACTCTACCCTTGCCCTTCCTCTGGGACCCTCCCCTGGCTCTGCCCCCACCCCCCGACAAGGCCCCGTGCCTGCAGCCCCCAAATGCCCACTCAGGAGCATTTACTGAAAGCAGGAATCCACAGCGAATGGTTGATGGAGTCCGCAGGTCTGGCCTGGGTGGTGCGGGGCATGTGGGGAGTCAACCCTGGGGGAGTAAGGGTGGCAGCAGATGTCCTGAGGCGGGTGCTAGACCAGGTCACTCAGGCGGGCCTGGAGGCGGGGGGCCTTGCCCAGCACTTCAGTCCCCTACATGGCTGGGCCAGGCCATCCCTAGGTCAGGACAGGAGCCAAGGGCAGAGGAAGTTGGGGGTTCGGGGCTTGGGAGCAACCACAAGGGCAGATGCTCCTGCTCAGCATGTCTCCTAGCCAGTTCCCTGAATAGCCCTCGGGCCCCATGGCCAGTATCCCCTCTTGAGACTTGCCTAATGGGATTCTTATCATTTGCACTTATATATGTAACACTTGTTAAGTGCCGTTGAGTTGGTTCCAGCTCATAGTGACCCTGTATGTTTTCCAAGAAGCAGCTGGTGGGTTTGAACCACCAACCTTTTGGTTCAGAGTCCAGTGCTTATCCTACAGCACCACACCAGGACTCTACAAGGGCTCAGGAGGTTTCAGAATTTGCCAAGCCCTCCAGCAGCGAAGCTGTGCCCCAGGCCTGCCCAGGTCAGCTTCCAGGATGGATGTGGACAGTCACCAAGCACAGAACAGTCGGGTGCCAGACCTGTTTCTAGGCCCTGTCTCTGAGAGCCTTCTGGGTCTTCTCGGCCTGGTCACCTCCCATCCCCTGTCCCCCACCAGACTCCCACTGGAGTGGAGACCAAGCAGAAGTAGGTCAGGACCACTTCATGCACATTGCTTCTCAGCTGGTGGCTGTCTGCAAAGTGGCCGGAGCCAGGCAAGAGATGCTGCCGTCCTGGGCCCAGCCCTCCACAAACTCATCACTACCAGCTGCCACTCACTCAGACTGCCTAAGAGATAGTTAAAGCCACCGCTGAGTGAAGATACCAGAGGCTGAACTGAGGGAGGTCCTCAACCTTCCTCAGCAGCCTCACCTGTGGAAGGGGCACATTTGCATTCAGTTTGATAGGCGCAAGCAACAAGTGGTCGTGACTACACTGATGCTGATGACCGGAGCCCCTTAAGCTCCTGAGGCCCCTACCTTGTGTTTGGCCGGGCACCGAGTGGGTGGCTGGCTAGGCTCCTCGGCCAGTGCCTGGAGCCGTGGGGTAAGTTGAATGGGGACCACCTCACGACTTGGTGTCCCTGGGCCCTTCATGGCTGCCCTGTAGGACTGGTTCCGTAGGTTACGCCTCAGGGCACCCCCCCAGTCTGTGTCCACATCCATGTCATCCAGGGAGAAGCTGGAGCTTGGGAGGAGCCGGGGGTCCCGCCTGGCAGCCTCTTTGCTGAGCATGGCCGCTCCGAAGCTCTGGTGTCGGGCTGGTGTCTTGGCCTTGCTGTACACAGCCAGGGTCTTAGGGATCAGCTGCTGCGTGCCCATCTTGAGGGCGGCGGGGCTCTGTGTGCTCAGGATGATGGGCTGTGGCTCTGTGTCTTTTGGGGGCTCTGGGGCCTCGGGCTGGGAGGTGGGCCCATCCCTAACTCGCAGGGAGCCCCGGACCAGGGGGATCCCCGACACTGGACTGCCATTAGCATCAAGCCGAAGATCTGCATGGAAGCGATATTCCAGGAGTTTCTCATCCAAGGAGCTGTCCGAGTGCCGCTGGGCCATGCTGGTCAGCCTTGGGGACCTGGAGAGGGACAGGGCAGAAGTGAGGGTATCGCTTCCTCATACCTGTCAGTCACTCAATGTTCTCCTGTCCACCTGGTCCCACCTGCCCCTCATTATGCCCCCTCTGGCCACTGTGAGCAAAGGTCACTATGGCAGCTGGGGATAGCTGGCCAGGGGCACTACGTGCCTTCCAGGGGCTAAGAGGCTTGTCTGACGCAGGTCAGTGTTGAGGTAGGTGGAGGTCAAGTGGCTGACTCTCTGGGTCTGCAAGACTACCTTGCAGGTCCACCAAGGAAACCCCCTGAGCCGTGTGGGTGGGGGTGGGTGGTACAGGCTGCAATCTGGCTCAGCCAGGAGCCTCCTGGATCACCTGACCTGTCCTCTCCCAGTTCTTGGGACTGTAGGGACAGTCCTGCTAACCCAGGAGCCCCCCCAAGCCTGTGTGTGGCTTAGGGGCACGATAGTGCCTGGTCCTGGGGGCGTGGCCAATCTTCCACATGTCAGCTGTATACCTTCCTTTTCCCATATTTCTGGACTTCGTATGTGGTTGACCATCCCTGCCTTAAGGACCATCTGGGACCTAGTCCAAGATGGTCATTGCTATACCTCATCACTGGAGCTGCACACACACAGTGGTTGGGGGCATTTACAGAGCTCCGACTCTGAGCCCATGCCCCAGGACAACCTGCCTGGCTTGGGCAGTGACATTAGTGCCACCATGGACCGTCCCTCCCGGGATTGTGAGCCCCTCCCTCTGAGCCCTTCTCTTCCCCTGGCCCTCTCCATCATCCCCAGCCACCCCACCTCTAGCCCCTGGCTTGACACCAACAGTGCCAACATTAAGCACGCCCTCTCCTCCTTCCAGGTACAAGCTGGCTGCCCTCCCTGCCCCTTTGGGAGGGTGTAACTTGTGACATGCTGCAGCCAGTAGCACAAGATGTGGGTGGAGGGATGTGTGGTTCTCCTGGGCGGGGATTTTAAGTGCTGCTGGTGTGTGGTCCATCACCAACCCTTTCCCCTGCTGTAGTCACCAAAGACAGTGTTGTGATGGGGCTGCACAACTGGCTGGACCTCTGATGGTCCCGAAGGTATGAGCCCCCAGTGACCTGGGACACAACGGAGTGGAAACCAAGGCTCTGCTGGAGCCCCTACGGGGTTCATCCCAACGACAAGGCATTACTTGGCCAGGGCCACGTGATGCTCACATGCTCTTGTGGTCCCCCAGGGTGGTCAGGGGCACTGTAAGTCTCAGGGACACTAGTCTATGGCCACTCCATTGCTATGGAATGAATTGTGTTCCCCTGAAATATATGCTGAACTCTGAATGCCGGTGCCCACTGTGAGGGTTCAACTTATTTGGAACTAAGGTCTTTGTAGATTCATTTGTTCATGTGAAGTCATACTGGAGTGGGGTGGATAGATCCTAATGTCTTTATCATTGTTATTATGTGCCGTGTGGAGTTGGTTCCAACTCATAGTGACCCTGTACAGGATTTCTGAGGCTGTAAATCTTTACAGGAGCAGAAAGCCTCATCTTTCTCCCGTGGAACTGCTGGTAGTTTTGAACCGCTGACCGTGAGGTTAGTAGCCCAATTCGTAACCACTACGCCACCAGAGCGCCTTTAATATCTTTAGGGCCAGTCTTTATAAGAAAAGGAAACAGGCTCAGAGAGACACACAAGGACAATGGTTAGGTGAGGATGGAGACAGAGACTAGAGTGATGCTGTCACAAGCTCAGGACCACCAGGAACCACCAGAAACTAGAAGAGGAAAGATAAGGATCTTCCCCTAGAACCTCCAGAGCGCACGCGGCCCTACCTTCCAGACTCTGAAGGAATTCTCGTCATTCTACTCCTCAAGAACCCACAGGGGCTCCCGGCTCCTATCTCACCTAGTCTCCATACCTGGGAGGGGGTGTCCCCTGCCTGGGGCCCATGGAAAACCAATGTCTTCAATAAGCAAGTGATGCCAGTTGTTGGTGCCTCTGTTTCAAAATTTGTAAAATGGGCACGCTAAGCCCTGGACTGCTAACCACATGGTTCAAAGCCACCAGCTGCTCCTTGGAAACCTGAGATCGGGTCTCTGTGAGTCGGAACCAACTCAACCAAACTTAATGGCAGTAACAGCAGTAGTAACATCCACCTTCTGAAGGCACTGTGGGATCCATGGGTGGTGTGCTCAGCTGCTAACAGACAGGTTGGAGGGTCTCATCCACCCAGAGGGGACTCAGAAAAAGGCTTGGGGAGCAACTTCCTAAGACACCACCACCACCAACCCATTGTCACCTAACTGATTCTGACTTACATGAGAGAGGAGGGTTTCCAAAAGACTGTAAACCTTTACAGGGGCAGACAGCCTGGTCTTTCTCCTGTGGAGCAGTTGGTGGGTTTGAATCGTTTACCTTGCCAGTAGCAGCCCACGGCACCAAGCAGTCATTGAAAACACTGTGGAGCACAGTTCTACTCTGACACCCGGGGTGCCATGGATCGGACTCAACTCCAGGGCAACTGATAAAGTCAGTGAGTTCGTCTAAGGAAAGTGTGCAGAACAGAGCAAGCACCGCATGGCCCGTGCCGCACAGCCGTGGCTAATCAGAGCTAGAACACAAGCTGCCGCATGCTGCCCTGACCGGGGCTGGAGAGCTTCGTCGGTCCAAAATAACACGGACAAAACTTGCCCTGTTCACTTTTTCCCTTTTATACTGATGGAAACAGAATAAAAGGGAAAAAGCCATCATTCCCCAGGCCCCCTACAGAGCCTGAACTTCACCAACACTAAGATTATGAAGTCCCATGAGTGGGAGCCAACTGAGGCCTGCTGCCCCCAAGTCGCCTGTTCGTAGCAGCCCAACTTGAAGGTAGGCTTGGGGATTCAGAGCTTACCTATGGCCATGCCACTTCCTGTTTTGGAAGAGATTTGGAAGGGAATGCCCACCCTAGACAATCCCTGCAGTTCCATGGCAGTGGGGTTTGGAATCTTATCACTGCTTGAGGGACCAGGGCTGTGGGTGGACACAGACCCTCTGGATCACGGCTTCCTGGACCCCAAAGTGGCACCACCACCTGGAACGACCAGAGGGTCCCAGTTCCCAGTCTACATCACATATTCACTGCTCATGCTGGGTCTGGGCTTCCCATGGGAGGTCCAAGATACAGCCAAGAATCCCTCCTTAGCCACATGACTGATGTAAATCACACCACAGTCAGGAACCACTGAGGGGCATCCAGTAGCTCTGCTAAAACCACCCCAGAAAAGCGTGCAGGGCTGAGTGTGTTCTGGGACCCAAGGCGGAGCTACATGGAACCTGGCTCCCCCACACTGGGAGGGCAGCCTGCACATTCCACATAACATTCCAGGCTCTGAGGACAGCGATGGCCACAGCACCCTCCCCCGGGAGTGAGGCTGTGACATGTGGTCTGGTTGGCCCAGGGCCTGGCAGGGAGGCTGCCTGTACCATTGAGGCTCAGTCACCCAGAATAAAGCTCCTGATGCATCATGCTCTGGCCACCTAGATGGGAAATGGGCTTATTTTATTTAGGCAAAATGCACCCACCTAGGAAGCCAGAGGGTCCTGTGTGATAAGCAGGGATAAGCACTGGATTGCTAATCGCAAGGTTGGTGGTTTGAACCCACCAGCTACTCCTCATAAACCCTATACAGGGTTGCTATCAGTCAGAACCGAGTCGATGGTGCTTACCAACAACAGGTAAGCAGACAATGACAAAAGTGCTGTCCTTTTATTTTCAATGTGCTCAGGTCCTTGTAGAGGAGCTCTGGTGGCACCAACTGAAAGGTTGGTGGTTCGAACCCACCCAGCAGTTCCACAGGAGAATGATCTGGAGACCTGCTTCTGCAAATGACAGCCATGCAACAGTTCTAGTCTGTCACATGGGGTCATTATGAGTCACAACCAACTTGGTGACACTTAAACACAACCACAATCACAGCACAGGGATTTCAAACTTGGAGACACTTTGCACAATTATACAGAACAGGTGGCATCGAAGACGAGCAACATTGCTAGGCCCCGCCGCCTACCGAATAAACACCACTTCCACGTGTGCACGAGCCCGGACCTGTCTATCCCCATCTCTGCTCCTCCCTCCTTCCCATGCCCACACTCTCTCCCCACCCCCATTTGGAGCCTCAGCAGCTCACTCTTAGCCAGACCTGCATATAGCCTACCGCCTGCAACACCCTCTCCCCGGGTGAGGGCAAAGTCTGCTCCAAGGCGCCTAAATGGAGAACCTGTTGGGTCAGCCATTGCTGGGTGTGACCTTCATTCCCAGCCAGGTGGCCACACCCAAGGCCCAGGAGCCCCTGCTGGGGTGCCATTCTGTCTGGCACCGGACCCACTGAGGGAACATGGCAGGGGACTCACTCTGTGCACTGCAGTTCCAGGACCCCAAACCCTGCAGGGGATGGGCCCCTGGGACTACAGCCAGAGTAAATCAGATGCCATTGAGTTGACCCTGTCTCATGACGACCCCGTGTGTGTCACAGTAGAACTGTGCTCCATAAAGTTTTCAATGGCTGGTGCTTTGGACGTAGGTTGCCAAACCCTTCTTCTGAGGCAATTCTGGGTAAACTCAAACCACCGACCTTTTGTCTAACAGCTGAACGTATTAACTGTCTACGCTACCCAAACCCATAGAAACCAACCAGTTGTGGACTTGGTTCCATCTCATCGAGACCCCATGTGTGTCAGACTAGAACTGTGTCTCAGAGCTTTTCAATGGCAGCCTTAAGTAGGTCTCCAGGCCTTTGTTCTGAGGTGCCTCTAGGTAGACTCGCTTTGTCGGTTGCTGTGGAGTTGATTTTGACTTATGGAGACGCCAGGTGTTATCTAAATAGAACTGCGCTCCACAGGGTTTTCAATGGCTGGATTTTTGGAAGTATTTCACCAGGCCGTAGGTGCCCCCTCTGAGAGACTTTTTTTCTGAGGGATTTCTGGTAGATTCAAACCACTGACCTTTCAGTTAGCAACAGGGCGCTTCAC